CCCCACTACACCACTGGTCAACACTGACTCAGTTCGGTAATTGCTAGATAGTGTACTTCAAAATAAGGTTTCCGTTTTTATAACGTAGAAAAAACTATCCTAAGGCTAAACTAAACCCTAACCCTAATACTAACCTTAATCCTAACCCCAACCTTAACCTAACCCTATACCTAACCTAACCCTAACTTATTTAAAAAATTGATATAAAAACGGAAACCTTATTTTGAAGTATACTATCTAGCAATTTCCGACTCAGTTCCATCAAACATTTCCTACAAATCCTTCAAAACCTAGAATTGTGTTCACAGAAATTTTGATTCATGAGGAAAAGATAAAGGAAATCACTACCGTGTCGGTGGTTTTATATGTGATAAAACATGTTAATTTACAAAAACTGTACCTTTGATTTTCTCGGCTCAGACGATATTTATCTTTAAAACTACTTTACCAATGTCCTCATAAGGGGCGGACCATTAGAAATCCCGGGAGGGGGGGGGGTATAAAATTTTTGCGGCACGAATTTTTTTTTCAGTCTCATGTATCTGCAGGATTTTTTTAATGCATTTAACCTCTGCACGAATTTTTTTCAAGACTATTTGTACTTTGCTGTTTGCTTGCACGAATTTTTTTTCTCTGATGTAATGGCTGCACGAATTTTTTTTCCAACCATTTTTCTTTGCACGAATTTTTTTGGGGGAGTTTTCACCCCCCCTCCCGGGATTTCTAATGGTCCAGCCCTAAGAAGGGTCGCTTTAAAGTACTTGTAAATAGTCGGCTTTATCAGATCAGATCAGATAACACTCAAGCTGCGCACTCGTGTTTTATATTTGATAAAGAACTCCTATATACGCGTGCTTTAAATAGTACTTAAGATCAGTTTGGGGACAAAGTACAGCATTTGAATCAAGTCTGAATTTACCTGCTTTCGTCGCATATACACTGTTGTAAATCGACTTAACCACATTCGCTTTAGGTGTCAGACTAATTTAATACAATTCTGCAAAGCTGTAATATTTCATAAAAATGCATAGAATCTGTTTCAATTCTGTAAATGTAACGTATCTTATAGGGTAGACTGTCAATTTTCTCAACGCTAATCCTATATGACTCAAAATTCTCAAAACGGAACAAATGCTTTTATATATAATTACGGTGGTTTTCCACGCTTTCAAGTAAATGCTACACTACACACAGACTTGCAACGCTATATACTATATAGTACTTATGCACACTGTTTATAACAAACACTATAATAGTCCCATTATAAGATGATTTAATCCCCATATTAAAAAAATGGCGGAATGTTGATTTTAGAAACAATTCTTTGCAAATTTATAACTTGCAACAACATAATTTTAAAAATGTATCCAAAACCTTAGACCTCCAAATCAAACAATATATTACAATTTCAATCATAAATAATAATTGAATAATAATTTTTTTTATATATATCATATCAATTTAATGTGGCTATCAGCTTTTGACTACGAAGCGGCAATGATGCGAAATTTTTTCTGTTAATGATGCGAAATTTTCATTTGGCAAAAGGGCCGTTAGAATAATACATATATGATAAAACGACATGTCTTTCGGATGACATGCAGTGGTATGTTTCTGCGCACAGAAGAAGAGTTGAATATGGAATGTATTTGAAGGTAATCTATAGCCGATTTAAATTCGCAAAGACTTGTTTTTGAAATCGACATGACGCAAGCCCATCGATCATTTATTATTATTATTATGGCGGATTACGCATGTGCACGCATTTGCATCTATATATTGATATGTTAATGAATCAAACATCGTCTGTTTCAAAGATAGCCACACACATGTCGAGTTCATCATATATGCATTATTCTTTTGCTAACAGTATATTAGTTCATTCACAGATTGGAGCATGTCGCCAGAGAAAAGCAAGTTTCTCAGTTCACGAGATTCTACATCGCTGGCAATTTTTACTTCTTTGCAAATACTTATTGGAACTACAGCAAATATATGTGTAATTATCTATTTTCTCGTTTTTCGTCACAGCGCACAACGAACTGCTTCAGATAAGCTGACTTTAAATTTAGCAATATCCGACTTCTTCGCCTTAACAACCTATCTCCCATGGCGAACTTATCTTCTGATATTACGCGAAAAGACTGAACATTGGCGTATATATACTTCGTTATTTGTCGTGTGTATTTTTGCAACAGGTAACGCTGTTCTAGTTATCGCACTTGATAGGCTTACGGCTGTTGTTTGGCCATTGAGGTATAAAACTTTGATAACGTCCAATGTGTCATTGACTTTCGTTGCGATTTCATGGATTACAGCTATTGTTTTTGGAGTTGTTCATGGTTTCAGCTACGAGGTTCATATACATGATCCAGAATACGAGCTGTTTTTGTGTTCCATGTCGTTCGCTCAACTTGCCCTACTCTCTGTCATTTATGGTATTTTACTTAGAACAGCAAGAAAGCAAGGAAGAAATATTTCAAACATGCGAGGTAGTCTTCAAGCGGGATTTTTTCTCGTAAGAAAAAGTATGCTAACATCTTTCACCATCATGATTTTGTTCTACGCGACTTTCCTTCCTTATTCCATCTACAGAGTTTATTCAACCATCGACGAAAATTTAACGGACCATGAAAAAAATACCGCATGGCGTTGGTTAACGGCTTTCACTTTTATAAATTCCTGCCGTAATCCTTTTGTGTATTTCTTTGGAATGCAAAGACACAGAACAATGCTTACTAAATATTTTCAAGCTTGGTTTGGCAGTTACAGAAAGAGGAAACACGGGTATTCACCGAAAGTGGTAAACAACAGTAATGATATGGAAGATCAAGTATAATAATGATCATTGGACACAAATAGCCCCAGAACGCTAACGTGTTTCGATTTTGTTGTAAACTTCGGATTGTAAATATCAACGATAGTAACAAACGCGTCTTTCCAGGCGATACCAACATCATTTTCGCTTAACACGCGATGTCACTTAAATTTAACAGGTTCAAAGCCTCACGCAGTCCGTTGCAATCTCCCTTCTTGGTTCTAAATATTTCAGAAATTAACGGTTTGTGAATATTCTCAATATTCTTTCAAATTAGGCAAACATAATTTTTGTTGCCATTTTCCTTTGAACGAAACTCCAATTGAAAAAGTAGTAACTAAAGTTGCAAGCTACGTTGTAAAAGGCTACAATGTTAAAGCTCATGAATATGCTTCTTGCCTCTTGGTTTTAAGGCCAGCTCACGCTATCAAAGTATCTTTGATCATAATAACTGATTCTTCAACAAAACATATAACTAATGTAAATATTCATGTTTCAAACAATCGTACAAAGTTACAACTAGAAGTTGAATATCATACGACCACCTCATGCATGCATGAAATAGCAATATAGCAATAGTTTGTATTATCATTATCATTATATCATCATTAATGTATGGAGATTGCACTTCGTGCCACTTTCTACATATATATTTTGTAATAGAAATAAAAATTGGTCTTGCCCTGAAAAGCTCAACTTCTATTAGCTACTAATGCGTGACAGTGTAGATAACGGACCTGCTTTATTTAGAGAACTGTTCTCTTATATATTTAATATATTAATTGTAAGCTCTTTCACAGCAACCAGGTATATTAATCATGTTTTCGCTCACTACTCTGGTTTATATATAAACGAATACAAAGCACAGTCGAATTGTAATCAAGACCCAGCGTTTCGACACTTCAGTCTGGTGTCTTCATCAGGGGTGATCTAAAGTTCCTATATGTGGCTTCTTAAATACCCAAGGGATAACGTCATCTGCCATTGAGATGCATGTATTCCTCTGGCAAATAGCACCGTCATCCCTATTCAAAGCATGATTACCCATATTTATATGCTACGCTTCTAGGCACCGTCTTTGACCACAGCGATTGTTCGTGGTAATTACTTTAGAATTTTCCCACGCAATCTTGTGTTTGGTGTCACATACATGTTCTGCTAAAGCTGATTTCCCCTTGTTAAAGTTCAAACAGCCTTTTGATGTTCTTTTAGCTGTGTACAAACTGGCGTTTAGACTGACCCAAATACTCTTTCTCGCAGTCACCGCATGGTATAGAATATACATTAGAGGTGTGCGAATCCGATCCGAATCCGATCCGATCCGATCGGATTCGGATCGGATTCGGACAGTAAATTACTCGGATCGGATCGGATTGGATTTCATTTTGTTTCTGTCGGATCGGATCGGATTTTGCAGGTTTTTTGTCGGATCGGTTCGGATTTGATTTTTCTTGTATCACGTCGAATTATTCGAATAATTTTACAAATTGAGAAAGTTCTATATTCTGCAGCTGTATTCCACTTTTTACGTTACAAATGG